ATTTAACAATTTTAATTTCCCTAATGGGCAATATATGTATACCAGAATAGATGGAACTAATAATGACCCTTGAAATTGAAGTTCACTAGGTATGCCTAAAGTGCCTTTGGGTTGAACTTAGTGTTAAATGACATCGGTCTGGCTGTTTATCAGACTGCTGCTTCGTGAACTCACAGAAATAAGATCAAAAGGCACAACAATAATTTAAGATCCATAAACACAAAGGTATTTTTTCTGTATCCACAGTGCATAAAGGAGCACCTAGCATGTAAGTGAGATTCCATAAATATTTGATGAAAGAATGAATTCCATAAATACTTGATGAAAGAATTAAATTTGTAAGTCCTAGACCAGGACTCGGAACTTCATATTGTAGGAATCTGGAAAGAATTTGAACTGATAAATGGGATGGGAAGAACAAATACCAATCTCTGCATAATATGCAATCAAGCAATGCAAACCTGCTGGCTTTAAAGAAGTGAAAACTTTGTCCTAATACCACTGTCTTCAACTGGCTCAGAAGCAGAAGGCATCTACCAACCAGAAATCAGGGCATGTACCTCTCTCCCAGAGTGCAAAAACTCAAGTACTGATTTCCCTCATTCTTCATCAATCTATCTCCTCTATTAAAAATTAGACTAAAACTTGCAGAAAATAAATAAGCATGAAATAGGGAAGAAAATGTTTATAACATTCTGGGAGATGTAGTTCTCATAAATAAAATTATATGTACATATGGAGGTAGGATGAGCCCAAGTACCACTGCATGTGGAAAATTATGAGTTTTTCCATAATTCTGATGTTTTAGCATCTCAGAGAACCAAACAGAAATGACAAAAGAAGATAATCAGCTCAAGTCAAGCAATGTGTTATATGTCTGGCATATGCTTAAGTTAGCCTAGGAGCTAAGCCGTAATTCATCACNAGTTTTTCCATAATTCTGATGTTTTAGCATCTCAGAGAACCAAACAGAAATGACAAAAGAAGATATCAGCTCAAGTCAAGCAATGTGTTATATGTCTGGCACATGCTTAAGTTAGCCTAGGAGCTAAGCTGTAATTCATCACCCAGCTGGATCTAAGAACAATTCTTATATGTTCTAGAATTTCCAGAACATATAAGAACATATTGACTAAAATTGTGTTACACTATCTGTGACTTACTCTAAAATATCCCATCCGAAATACTGTGTTACNTTCTGTTACACTATCTGTGACTTACTCTAAAATATCCCATCTGAAATACTGTGTTATCTATGTGCAAGTTAGTTTAAGCCTCAGCTCCATGGTCAGTCCATTGCTGTAATCAAAAGTCCATGTGCTCAAGTGATCGACTAACTTACTGTGCAAAATACAAGGCTTGGGAGTGCTCGGTATGGTATGAGTTCTAATCACAGAACTGNGATCGACTAACTTACTGTGCAAAATACAAGGCTTGGGAGTGCTCGGTATGGTATGAGTAATAGCAAAGCTANACAAGGCTTGGGAGTGCTCGGTATGGTATGAGTTCTAATCACAGAACTGTTACTCTTTGCTAATTGGCACACAATCTCAACAATGGATTTTTAGTGGGGGAAATAATAGCCCGAGGACTGACATAATGAATGCTAAAAATGAACCTTCAAAGGTGAAATTAAAGAGATGCAAAGTGTGTAGAGTAGCTGCAATGGCAAGTATAGACGAATAAATATATAGACAGACAAACAGATAGATGATAGACAGACATAGACATGTATGACTTTTTAAAAGACATTTACTCTTCCTAACATGCAAGATAGAAGAACCCAAAAAGGCCAGCAGCCTTACCTGTAGGAATGATGTCTTAGACTAAATCCCTACCTCCTTTGGCGCCAGAGGTGAACGTCTAAGAGCTTTGAGTGGTGCACTGCCATCGCCATATTGGAACCTGAGCTCAGCAAACAATAAAAAAGGTGTGCCCTTTGATATACTTACCAAAACGCCCTCCCATATTTTGAACCAAATAGAAAAAGTTAATAAAATCTTTATATTCAAAACCACGGTCTTATATAAAGCCCTGCATTACCTGTTGTGTCCCAGTGGGACCAGATGCCATTGTAAACCTTCATAAACAATTATGGAAGGCCACCAATAATCGGCTACATGGAAATGACTTATGCACAATAATACAGGAAAAGAAAACAAAGTTTGTCTTTATTTAAAATTTTGACATTTTGCTTATGATATTTTGCATTTATTTTAATTTTTTTGAACTATTATTTCTCTTGATTGCTAAGTTTTTTGGTACCTCCTCCTCAAATTTTGCACCGGAGGCTAGTGTATCACTGCCCCAATTTTGAGCATCTCAGGATTTAACAAGTTTGAAATATCTTGTGACTAGAATTTTGGTATTTGGCTTCAGTAAACCTTTCATTCAAGGTAGTGCTCAAAGCCCCTCAATGGATGACAATCTTCTAGACATATAAAATGAATAGTGTAAAATATATGCTTTTATTTTTTATTGTTTTATATGTTAACTTACTAATAAATATGTTGTTGATAAGTATGTCTATGTGTGGTATAATTTAGTTCAAACCTGCTTTCATTTTAACCTGACACCCAAGAATTTCCAGAGGGCTACCATTAATTGCCAAAAAGAAGCCAAGAGAGTAAGTTAACTTAGGTCAGTTCGTAACACTCAAGGAGACAACGAATGGGATCAAGGGTAAAGTATATTTGGATATAATTTCTAGATTGAGATCCTCTTAGCCTGATAGCCTGTTTTACCCCAACTTTATTGAGATATAACTGACAGCAATATGTAAGTTTAAAGTATACGTGTTGACTTGAAACNAGCCTGATAGCCTGTTTTACCCCAACTTTATTGAGATATAACTGACAGCATTATGTAAGTTTAAAGTATACATGTTGACTTGAANTTTACCCCAACTTTATTGAGATATAACTGACAGCAATATGTAAGTTTAAAGTATACGTGTTGACTTGAAACACATATATTGCAATACGATTACCACCTGAGCATTAGCTAACACCTTCATCACGTCACATAATTACCATTTCTTTTTTTGTGGTAAGTACAATAATTTTCAGTTATCCACTTATGTGTGTCTTCCCTTCTGTTTTTGTGTTTTAAATATGTCTTTACTGATTTCAGAGAGAGGGAAGGAGAGGGAGAGAGAGAAACAGGAGAGAGTCATTGATCACTTGCTCCTCCATGGCCCCTACTGGGGATTGAACCCACAGCCCAGGCGTGTGCCCTGACGGGGAATTGAACCCCAGTCTCTCCTGGATCATAAGTTGATGCTCAACCGCTGAGCGACGCCGGCTGGGTTGTCTTCCCTTTTGTTGACGCTTGAATTACCTTTGTATTCCCATATCTAGTACAGGCCCTGTGCATAATAGGCATTAAGAAAATGTTTGACACCACTTGGCAACAATTTGCAGGATTTACAGAAAAAAAGACAAATGAGTTTTTGAAAAGATGTCTTCATAAGGACCCCTCTACCCACCTGACCCCAGCCCAAGCATTAAGACACTCTTGGATTAGTAAGTCTGTACCCAGACCTCTCACCATTGAGGTCTCAGGCAAACAGGTAGTAAATCCTGCAAATGTTTTCCAGGGACTGGGTTCCAAGCTGCCTCCAGTTGTTGGCATAACCAATAAACTTAAAGCTAACTTAACATCAGAAGCCAATGGTGGTATTCCTCTGCACAGTGTATTGTCAAAACTGATTACCCAACGAACAGTGATATGCTCAGAAATGTACATGTATGTATTTTTTATTATCTTGAAAACCTGAAAATAAAATAAAAAATACAAGCCATTGGTGGATATGCTTTTGTTAAATTAGATTTCTTTTGTTTAACAAGGCAAAAAATTTTATTTAACTGTAAAAAGAATTCTCTAAGAGCTAATTACCTCCACACACAACTTTATCTGAGAATATTAACAATGAAAGCAAGTCTCACAGATTTTATTTAGCAAGCAAATCCAGAAACAGTCACGTTACCTACACTGTTAGCCCGATGAAGCTCCATCTTTCTTCTTTTGGCATAAAGCTCACTGCATAGAAGAGTCACTCAAGGGAGATGTGACAATATTCTTTTGTTTTTTCTTTTGACTTGGGGTTGACTATTTTTTTAATTTTATTTTTCAATTACAGTTTATATTGAATATTATTTTGTTTTAATTTCAGGTGTACAGCATAGTGGTTAGACAATCATATGCTTTACAAAGCATCCCCCCACCACCATATTTCCAGTATAACCTAGCATCATATATAGTTATTTTAATATTATTGACTGTATTCTCTATGCTGTACTTTACGTCCCCATGACTATTTTGTACCTACCAATCTGTACTTAATTCCTTTACCTTTTTCACCCAGTCCCCCAATCCCTCTCCCCTCTGACAAATCAGTGTTCTCTGTATTTATGAATCTGTTTCAACTTTGTTCATTTGTTTATTTTTTTCTTTAGATTCTCATATAAGTGAAATCATAATATTTGTCTGTCTTTCTCTGACTGACTTATTCAGATGTGACAATATTCAAGATGCAGGATTCAGCTCATCTTATAAGAATCTAGAGTAACAGGATTTTCTCAGGGGTCTGGACACGAGATCAGATGGTATCCTAGGACTAGGCACAACTAAGAGGGCTGCTCAATTTACAAAGATTTTTCTCCCATCATTCAAAATGGGAGATGTCGGTTCAGTTTAGCCAAACCATTCATAATATGGAGAGTATTAGCATTATAAATGGAAAAAATTCCTTTGAATGGATATTTCCTAGTATATATAAAAGCAGATATGTTTTGCCCCTAAATCTCTCCAACCACCTAAGTCATTGTGTCTTATTAAGGACTCTCCCATTTCCCTCACCTTTACTCCCCTCCCCTCCCCTTCCTTCCTATCAATGTGTGGCTAAATGTGGAAACAAAACTGGTTTGAAAGTATCAATTTAAATAATCTAAACAAGGTGTATTTTATAAATTTGCCAAAGCACTATCAACAAGCAGAGGTAAATCAAGAGGGGTTTTACTGTGGACATAATAACATTTTTATATAATTGAACATATTCTGAAATAAACCACAATAAATCATTGTGACAGCTCTGATTAGAGAACTGAAATATTCATTCAACTGATAACGTACCAAACTGTTACTCGAACTCTGAGGTCATTTACTTCTATTTTAAGGTAAAAATACACTGAATACAAAAAGATAGCATTAAAAAGTTTTTATTGTAGAATAAAGTGGGAAGGACTCTAAATGTTCACTGCCCCAAGTCCCCCAAAGATTTAGAAATTTCCTCCACAATAATCCTGCAAGCCCAAGAGCGTTCACTTCCAGCGCGAGGCTCATTGTCTGGGTCACCTCACGCCACCTTTGGCTTTCACCGTTTCCTGATATGGCTGGCCAAGGCCTGTTTTCTTAAAACATCTGCCCATTAAGTATAAAAATATATAAACACATGATGTAGTCGATAATGCTAACTTGAAATATATTGCAGGCCGGATGACCTCTAAATGATATGATTTTTTTTTTAACAATAAATCTTTGCTTTGCTTCAGTATCCTCACATCTAAAACATACCAATTTATTTTTAAACCTAAGAGTAAAAAAGTGTTTACCTAAAAAATACTGATAGTTTCTTAGATATAATATTTTAATTTTATAATAGTCACATTCTCAACCCTCTAGAAGTTAAGATAATTTGGTTTCATTACAATGAGATCTTATATCTACGAGTCATTTTTTACATGAAGTCCAACCAGTCACAGGAAATGAGTTTCACTTTCCTTGTTGATGGACCTAAGACTGCTGACTGTGAGAGCACTGCAGCGACAATAAGTGCGACTTGTGACGTTCTCTCCTTAAGGTCAGCAGTACTAAAGAGCACCCTGTTCACTCACAGAGCGAAGACAGCTAGACAGCACATGCCCGGTGACGTTTCCTAGACTCAGAGCCGACCCTAATGAGACACTAGTGTTTTCCCAAGAGGACGCAGTGGATATAAATAGTGTTAACCTCAGATTACACATGAAATTTAAACAGTTTGAACCTCAGTTTACACGTGGGTTTTTAACAAGAGTGAATTAATAAAACTGAAAATTATCTTATGAAGAATAATTCACCATGCTGAATTATGACTCAGGAAGAAGTCATTTGCTTTACTTTAAAAATGACAATATCAACAAGAGTATAAATTAGATATAATTATATAAACTGGAAGACAGGAAATATATATCCAAACATCATTCTAGTAAAGAACAGTTTAAACATATTTAATATAATAAAAATATAGAATATTAAAAATATCTACATTTGGGCATCATAAAAAGGAAAGCAAAGAAAGGAATTCAGCTTGCACACTCAGTAACTCCCAAAAATTTATGTAACAATTCCCACAAACCGATCTCAGAAACAGAGCAATGTTACATTTTCTATGAACACAAGCTGTGAAATACTATAGATTGTGCCTTATAAAATAATGTTTGAGGCAATCTACATAGGAATTATGATCAAGACTCATAATTGCACAAATCTGAAAAGCCTTACATTGCTCATTGCAAATTACACTGCTGTCATAACTCACAAAGTAGTAATTATAATATTTTATAAATTTCTTACTGTCTGGGGTTGCAAATTCTTTAGCTAATCCATACAAACTTTTTGGCTGCAAATCTTCAATGTTGTAAGTTTGAGTCAGGTTATACTCCAGCTTCCAGTTGGATTCTCCCTTTAGATTAGCATCTGTCAGGTTCAAGTAATACTGCAACATGTCCTATAGTTAAAAACAGTAACAAAGGCTAGTTCATTTGGGGGCATATAAAGTACTGCACAGCAAGAGTCCTTACTAGGATTTATGTGACATTCCTAATTTAAAGTTGTAGTCATTTAAAAAGGTGAGAATTGGTTTTAAAGAAAAAGAGTCCTAATAGAAGACCTATATTACTTTTTTCATTTTAAAAATAATGAAAGAACATAATATAAAATAATATAAACTATATAGAGAGATATACAAAATAAAAAGCCTTTAATTCACACACCTCAGAAGTAACCACTGCTAACAGTTTCATACATATTAGTGGTGTGCTGGAGGTGGCTTGTAACCAGCTCACAAGAGCCAATTGTCAAATTTTCAGGAATCTTGCCAGTTAGTTGATACTACTTTGGCAGCTTGAAACTGGAAATGATGGGAATATTTACATCATGGAAATTGGCAAACACCATAAATCAAAATTGTTGTTTTTTTCCCCCAGTGAACAGGTTGTAAAACAGTTACCAGCACTCCTGTGTACATGTGTTGTTCTAGAGTTTATGTACAAAACAAATATAAATATTTTAAAAATATATTCCAATTTTTGGCTTTTTTAAAAAAAATGAAGCCATACTATACAAACTGTTTTGCACTTTTAAAAATTATTGAGTGCTATATCAGGGACATCACTCTATGTCAGTACATATATATACACATATACCTATACATGTGTACCTCAGGGTCAGATCCAAAAATAGACAACAAATAGTTGTACAAAGATTCCTTTGAACTGGTTTATCTGTCAATTATTTTATTTTTTGATTTAATCTAACGTTTATGGATTAAACCAGATTTCCCCTGGCTACCTCCTTTGTAAAGACATGCTCTAGGGAATAAAAGAGCTACCTCCTATTAAGCTTAGCTAGGAAAAAAATGCAGTTACATCAATAGACACTTTAATTGAGAAATTCTTTCCCAATTAATTTGTTGAAAGGAGTATTACCCATAAGCTAAATGCCCAGTCTTTTGGTGCTAAATTTAACTACAGCAGTCATCTACAAGTTCCAGAGAAATTTTACCACAAAAATAAATGTTCAACTCAACTTAATTTCTTTACAAAATTTTTTGCCAACATTAATTGAGCACTTACCATGAGCCAAGGATTTTCTTAGTGCTTTATATATATTTGTTTATATAATCCTCACAGCAACTCAGTGAAGTCAGTAATATTTTAATCCCCATTTTACAGAGGAATAGATTCAGATGGAGAAGTTAGGTAATACAGCTCATGAGACAGTCTGGGTTCAGAACCTACACTTTTCTTCATAACTATGTTCTAAAGAAGAGTAATTAATAACAACATGTATACAAGTCCACAGATAAGACACTACCTAATGAAACTTCATCTAACTAAATGTGAAGTCTTTAGAAGTTTTAGAGAAAAGGCTCTCTCTCTAAGGCTGACCTTATAAACCCACACTTACAAAGTGCTGACATTCCAAATACAGAAAAGAAAGACATGATTTTAACATAAAACACAACTCACATAGCTCTGTTGAAAGCATTCAACTAAACTAATGAAAACTACGAAGACATGAGTAAGTATGGGGTCAATTCTAAAATTGTACCAACTTACCAATAACTTATAATCACGAGGATCGTACTGAAATAGTCTGACAGCAGGGTTGTTGGTCTGTTTTTGTAAAGCACCCTTCACCGGGGTAACAGCAGGAGCCACAAACGCAGAATTTATTGGACTCCCTGGACAAAACATGCACATAAAAAATATGTTTAGAAATTCAGTTTAACTATATTAACAAGTTCCAGATTAAGAGATTAATAGACATAACAGCCAAATGATATATGATCGTGACTTGAAACAACTATAAAAAAACTTTTGAGGAAATAGAAATTTTTTCAAAAAATTTGGTATTAGATGATAGCAAAGAATTATTATTGATTTTGCTAGATAAGTTAATGGTATTATAATTATGTGAGTTACTCATGTACTTTAACAATGCATACAGAAGCGTGTAGGGCGAAAACATCTGATGTTAAGATCTACTTTCAGATAATTCAGGAAAAAATAAATTAAAAATGGATAGGTAAAGCAAATGTGGCAAAGTCTTGATAGATGTTAAAATAAATGATGATACATGAGAGTTTGTTTAATCATTCTCCTGCTTTTATATATTTGAAAATTTTCATAATAAAAAATTCAAGTTGTTGTAAGTATATACCCAAAACATATACAAAACTAGTTTGTCCTGTACCTCTACCTGAGACAATATTCCAATGATTACATAATAAATATTTGAGTAAGTGTCACCATGTTTTATATGTATCATAGGACTAAATTTCTTTCTGAGTAAAAAAGCTATCAAATTCTGAAAAATTATCATTTTTACCAAGCCCACTCATTCGAGATAAAAAGGGTAAAGCATTTCAAAAATGTTCCCCAGCCTGAATAGAAGTGGCTCAGCAGCCAAACGTCGACATAGGATCCAGGAGATAGAGGTTCGATTCCCGGTCAGGGCACATGCCCGGGTTGCGGGCTCGATCCCCAGCGGGGGGCGTGCAGGAGGCAGCTGATCAATGACTCTCTCATCATTGATGTTTCTACCTCTTTCTTTTCCTCTCCCTTCCTCTCTCTGAGATCAATAAAGATTTTTTTTTTTTAAGTTCCCCAATTACTGAAAAAATACATTTTAATTTTTCTCTTGGCTAACTACTATAAAATCAGAAGTCTTGCTTTGTTAACTTTCAGTTTTCTGCCCTCATGCTGAAGTAATTTTTAAAAATAGATCATTGTTTGCTTTGATGTTAGAGTTTCTTCTATTATTTTCGTTTCAGTTTCATGCTGAGTAGATGACAATGTCGATAAGCACTTAAAAGTTAAGAGCTGGTTATGTTTTACTTTAAGCCAATAATAAATTGTGCTTTCCTTTTAAATTAGGAGAAATAAAACAAGTCATCTCAAAAGAATCTTGAGTCTAGCAGGTAAATATCAAACAGCAATATTTCTCTAAACTTGAGGATCTAAAAGAAAATTTGAGTGAGAGGAGGGTTTCAGAGGCTTTTGTGTTGACAGCAATGAAATGACAGTGGCCCTTTAGCACTAATGGGAAGAAACTCAACTGCAGGCGTATCTATAATTTTGGCCACCATTAGGGAAGGCAATTAAGTAAAATCTGGTGCTGGCAGGTTGATTTAATGAAACATTTAATTTACTAAATCAGTAAAAATTACCAGAGATTTACTGCTTTGCTCTAGCATCTTGGACTGGGGAGATACAAACAACATGTCATATTACCTTTTTCATCTGAAAGAACCATAATGCTGTCTCTGTGAGTGTGTCCATAAAATTGTCCTGCAATGACATTGCTGTATTTTCTGAAAATGCCTATCAGTTTCTCATTATAGCATTGTCTCATGGCTGTAGTGCCCATTGAATAGGGCAGATAGCCCACTGGAATATGTGCTATGATGTACACCTGGGGAAAGAAGCACAGGAGGGCTGACGAAGATCTTTTTGCACATTTGTCGTAACTAAATGACACCCAAGATTAAAAGTATAGTAATTAAAATTTAGAAAACAAATATACTATCTCTCCTATTTATTACCAAAAAAGATGAAATTAGAAAACTTCATTTCACTTTATTTACATTTGTCTCATTTAAACTACACTGTTGATGATATAAGTTAACTGTGACATTGGTCACCATTTTTTAAATATCAGCCTCTTTTTTATGAACTGATGTCAGTCAATTTCAAAACATTAAAAGCAAACTAAAAATAACAACACAGATAAATCATGTGTTTCATATGAAAACATCTTCAAATTTTAATACTTTTATTAACACCTGACAGCCGCCTCCCTTACATTTAATAAATACACAAATTTAGCCCCCTATTTATCCCTTGACCATTCTGGTCTATGAAATCTACCTTCTCGTTGTTCTGCTGAGAGCTGGTCAGTGTATTTTCTAGCCATTCAAACTGATTTGCTGGGTCACTCTTATTCAGGGTCACAATATCAGGGCCGTAGTACAGGTTTGTGTTTAGACTGATGATCCTAAGGTTCAGATTACCTGAAACTTTCTGTGAATAAAAGCCACCTATAAAAACAAATTTAAACACATTACAGCCAAACACATATACAGATATGCAGTCACTGTGAAGGCAAATTCTTAATTACAGTTTACAAGGCAGCAAGATGGCTATATTTCCTTCTCATTGTTTAGTTTGTACATACATAGGCCGTCATTAGATCAAGAATCAGGTTTAACAAACACTCACTGAAAACCTGCCACATTCCAGGTCCAATGCTTGCACTTCTTTCTATACATAGAGGTAACAAGAGTGGTTTCCAATATTCACATGAAAATAAAATTAAATATATCGGCATTAGGCAACGAGGTACTGAATTTTGTAAAAGAAATATTAATATTAATATATCAATCTTACTTATGTACAATTGGGAAAGTTAAGATGAGAATTATTGTGAAATACAAAATCCAGAGAATGGAAACGCACCTGGATCTTGCCAGAGATGACTAAAGAAATGGCAGACAAACCTGAGCTACTACAGTCTCCGTGGAGATGAGGCTGAAAGGCATAACCCCACTGGCACCAGCAAACCAGTGGCGACAGAACACCCAGGCGCCTACCATGGGAGCTGGCCGCTGAGCTGTGGGCTCTGCTTCCTTTGCTCCGGGCCCACTCACCATCCATGCTCTCTCCTCAGCTTTCAAACAGGGCTCATGGCCCCCAGAAAGACTGGGTAGAGAGGCTCTCCAGAATTGGCACGCCCAAGCAACCTTAAAGACTGAAGTCTGAACATGAATAAAAATTGAGGCAAAATAGAGATGAGGAAACCTGTTGCTTACCTGTCCTTAAAGTCTGAATAGCTTCTTCATCTAGCCATGGTTTCCAGAGGTTTGCTACTGCGCTGTACACCTTGCTGGTGAACGAAGGAAGCTGATCCTGGCCACAAACAATAGAATTCATCATTGAAACTCTAAAGAATATGTGGATCAATTAATTAAACATTGTTTGAGTGCTTACTACTATGTTATGCATCTGAAAATACAAAGGTGAATACTAAATAGACTTAATCTTCAAGGTACTTATAACTCAGTTGGGGAGGCAGGGACAAAATATACTCAGTCACCTAGAGACTATGTGCTAGGTGCGACTGCAGAGGCTCTGGGGTTACAGAAGCACAATCAAGTCTGGTCCTGACAGTCAGCAGGGACAGAGAATTTGAACCAGGCCTTGAATGATTCACCACATTGACAACGAAAGGGATCAGACAGAGAAGGACAAGTACCTTATGATTTCACTTATAGGTGCAATCTATAAAGCAGAACAAAACAGAAGCCGACTCAAGGGCATAGAGAACAAACTCATTGTTGCCAGCGAGGAAGGGCAAAAAAGGTGAAAGGGAACAAGAGGTACAAAATCCCAGGTATAAAATCAGTAAGTCACACGGATGTAAAGTACAGCACAGGGAATGTAATCAATAATATCATAATAACCTTGTACAGTGTCAGATGGTTACTAGACTTACTGTGGTGACCACTTCATTAGCTATATAAATAATATAAATAATATAATATTGTACATTGATATTTTCTTCAAAAGGCAAAAACAATGGCCGACGCGCACACAGTGCCATATACAGAGAAGGGAACTCATTTTAGTGTGACCGGGGTATAGAATCGATGTGCAGGTGTGCTCATGAAAGAGGCACAGAAGGCAGGTTTGAGCCTAAACATGCAGGGCCTTGTGTAGCATGTGGAAGGAATGGAAAAAATTAGACCATGTCCTCTGAAATGTTAACACTAGTATAAAGCTTCTTAACTTCTTGAAGATTTATAACCACATGAAGAAGTCTCATGCCAACCTAAATTTTATCAACGTGTTTCGATTTTTAATAGTATATTGGATGTATAAAACATTATTTTTATTATCATAAAGTATTTTTTATCACCTTATTTTATCATATTACAATAAAGTATATTTTTGGTGACATAAGCTCTAAGGGAAAAAAACACACAAAACTTTAAGAAAGTAGATATGGAATAAAAACCCAGAAATCATTTGTAAAATTGGATAATTACTTCTATTTTTGTCTTTAAAAAGTAGTAATAAAAAACTGATGTCATTGTATTCGCTATCCTCATTTCCATCTGTATGTTGGTGATAGAGATCTATTTCTTAAAGGAGTTTCCCTGTCAGCATTAATTAAAATGCTTAGTTATTTTTCAAGATGACACCCAAGTCACATTAGTTCCCAGTGCACATGCCTGATATATGATGAAAGTATAAATACATTCAGAGAAAGCAATACCAAATTACTTGTTTTAACTGGAATTATCCAAAGCATATTTTCAGTTTGTGTCAGAGATCCAAGTCATCTGTCTGGAAATTAAACAATGGTATAGGCCAATCTAGATTCTGATTGAAAACTGGTGGCCATTGCCCTGGTCTGTGTGGCTCAGTTGGTTGGGTGTTGTCCTGTATACCAAAAGGCTGAACCAAGCAAGAGGTTGCAGGTTCCATTCCTGGTCAGGGCATATGCCTGGGTTTCGGGGCGATCCCTGGTGGGGGATGTGAAGGAGGCACATTCTCATATCAATGTTTCTCTCTCCCTCTCCCTTCCTCTCTCTCTGAAAATCAATTTAAAAAATTAAAAATTAAAATGTTGGTAATTATCTATTGCACCATGCTGTCATCTCAGTCCTTTTGGGCTATGACATGATCACTGCTGAGAAATGAGGTATACAGTGGGACCCACCCATAAGTTTTGTGGCACCACCCTTACCAGTTTAGGAGTAAATGAGGACCCTGGCCCGGACTGCTTTCTTGGGTGGCAGCTGGAATGAATCCCTGGGCTGCCCACACTAATATCAACTTCTGATGTAATGGGTGGGGACATGAATCTGTATATGCATGTTTATGTAGCCATGTTTATGATTTTAATGGAAATAACATTTGTTGCTAACACTCACTAGAATTCAATCTGAGGTATCAGCCTCCAGTAAAATTATTGTGGGGCTTTCATGTTACATTTGACTTTCCAGAAATATTGCATGTGGGGTAAAAGGATGGGAGTAGAATAATAAAAAGATTTTCAAATATAAAATCATAAGCTAGAAGGAGAAAAAATTAACTGTTTAAGGTATACAAGCTACCCGATTTACCTCACCTGTTCATATAATAGGATATAGTTTAGAAGTTGGATAGTACCCACATCTTTGAATTATTATAAGATGTGACTTCATAGAAAGAAGACAGAGATAAAAATAAAAGAAATCCTCAAAGGAGGTAGGAAAATGTATCACATGTCACAGCTTAATGCTATAACAAACACCACTCCACTTCCTGAGGGTTTATTATTTGCCAAGTAGGAAGTTACACCCTTTTCGCACAGGGTCACTAATTCTCATAAAAACTCTGCAAGGAGCGTATTATTGCCCCTGTTTGCAAATGAGTGACCTGCGGATCAGGGACATTAAGTGAACTATCCAAGCTGGTCAAGCCATTAGAAGCAGCGTGAGATGAAGACTGAAATTCACGTGAATGTGACTCTAAACCTCACTTTTCCACTGCACCATCGGCCTGTCACCTCAAGCATATGAAAACAATGTGTGTAACCTCTGGCTCCTAGAGACTGTCCCCAAGCCTAACATGTCAGCGGCAACAAAAGTTGACCACTGCCTGAGAGGCCAACTCACAAAGACTCACATGTTGTTCACCTCAAGGCTGGAGGGCAGTGCCAAGAAGTCACTAAAACTTAGCTCACCCGGGAGCACAACGTTTCATAATCACTGTATTCGGGTTAGGTTAACTAATATAACCAAAACCCTCACGAGGCATCCTTCTGATATGAGATGGAAAAGATCTGAGCAAAAAAAAAATGCAGACAGAGAGGCATGAAAGTAAACACCAGCCCTGGCTGGGTGACTCAGTCGTCCCGTACAACAGAAAAGGTTGTGGGTTCGATCCCCAGTCGGGCACATAAAGGAGGCAACCAATCGATGTTTCTCTCCCTCTCTCTCTAAAAAGTAATAAAAACATACCCTCAGATTAAAAGAAAAGGGAAAG